TGCCTAATGCTACAATAGACACTGGCACCGATCTGCTCTAAATTCACAAAATTAAGAGAATCTGAGGGTGGAGTTTAGAATAAGATTTCTTCCGCCCATCATTTTTTCTGAAGAATTTTCCCTCTTGTGGCAGTGGACTCTCTAGTTGAAAGCAGAGAGACTGAACTCTTCAAATTAATTCTTGATTGTTGAAAAGTCTGAATGATGTTTAACTCAAAGTGATGGCAAAGCATTATTTTCAGAATCACAAACAAATTGACTTTGAGATTAGAATTTACAACCCAGCTTCTTGCCTTCTTTTCCTACGAAACATCCCTAAACTTCATTTTAAATACTTGATATATACTGAAAGATGATATCACCCATGTACACAATAGTCAAGAATGACAAATAGTCCTCCAGAATTAGAGCTGAGTAACAAGTTCCATATTTTTTTACAATCATATGTAATTAAAAGGACAAATGTATTGGCCACACAACATAAACAGACAAATGGTCAGTGGGATTAACAAAGGAGTTTCTGTGTCTCTCTCCCATCACCACCCACTAAAAAGGACACCCCAGAAAAACCCTGAAAAGGACAAATATCTCCCCTACAGAGATTTCAGAAGCCTTGTTATGACCTTTCTTGTCCCACACTGATTACTAGAGTCCCTGAAAACAGGCAGGACAGATCTTCTGCAAACACCGGAAGGCAAACAAAGTACAAAAAACTAACATTGCTGAAATTTGTTTATTGTCACTGATTACTTAACCTGAGTTCTCATAATATATTGGCCCAGGAGGAAAAGGGTATGTGGGAATGAGTGGAAAACTTGAAATAGCTAAGTTTATGTATTTTGCTCTTTCTAATTTAAATTCTGGGGCCATTCCACTGTCATTCAGTTCTGTTGTGAATTAAGCCCATAGCTGTTTTGTCTTGTGCAGCATTTCAATAAGGCCAGACTTTAAACATTGTTAATTTGCCTTTGTTACCTACCCAGCAATCCTCTTTTCTTGATCAGAATTTAAACATTTAAAAGTTTAATATTATTTGATTTTCCATGTCTGTATATGATATGGGATATACAAGTCCTCTGTGAAATCAGGCAGAGGTCCTGTACCATGCTAAAGAAACCATTCAGCCTGAAAGAAAGTTTTCCACCTAGTATTACTGAAGTAGGCATATAAACAGAAGGGAAGTGTGCTGTTGGAGGCCTTTCAGGGTATGTCTGTACCCAAGTACAAGCCTACCTGACCCCGGGGCTAGTCTGTGCCACAAAATCCATACTGCTTTTTTTTTTAAGTAGAGCTAGCATGTGTCTTTCTATCAAGGCTGGGAAGCATGCTCCCAACTGCAGCCGACCCATACTCACCAAAGAGAGGAGATACTGTTTCCCTACCCCAGGGAGAAAATGCCAGGAAGCTCTCAGGTCAAGCCCCAACAAAGACACTCAGAGACCCTGAGAAATAGGCTGGTTGGTCACATCAAAGCTCTGTAGTATTTGCCTCTCCTCTTTTCAAGAAAGTCATGAAGCTATGATACTCCCAGACCAAGAAGCCAGGGGCACTATTTCAGATTTTGGTGGCAGGGGCAACTGGTG